CATTGCGGGGGCCACTACCTGCACCTACTTGGACGGTTCCGAAGCTCGCTGAAAATATCAGCCAGACAGTACGCGACTCAGATCTTGCCATTCGAGCCGCACTTGCAGCACGGGAGGTTGGGAGGTTCAGGAAAGTCCAGACAGCCACGGCTATTCCCACTGCGCGCGCGGCTGTTCAATGAGTGGAATCAGAGCCACAGATCTTGCAGACCTTCGCAGCCAAGATCTACTTCGCGAGCAAAAACGTCAGCTCCACAACCGTAAAGCTCGAGTTCAGGGCAACCACGTGCTTGGCTTGGTACATGGGCCTCTCGGAGAAAGGCGATGTACGTTCCGAATGTATGCAATGTGGTGAGGGAGGTAAAACGTTGGGATGGGCCAGATACCTCTGCGGCGTGGGGGCGAGAGTTTCTGGTCCACGACGCCGCCTCGCCCACTAGCATGCCGATGTTGATGCTCAATAAACGGACTAAGACGCCAGCAAAACGTTGTCATGTGCTACTCCCTTTTCGATCTGACGACGTTGGCGAGGAGCTTGTGCGTTCTGTATGTGGACAGATTCCATCCTAGAAAGTAATCCTGTGGTTGTGTGCAGATATCTGTGCGAAGCGATGATGATGTAAAGTATTGCGGAGTGAATGACGGGCATGCTTCTTCAATGATGAGGTGTTGATGATCTACATGTTACTATTGTGTTCACTGCGGTCGTGAGCCAAAATGACACATCCCAACGCAGACGCAGAGGGCGCGGCCTTCGGGCCCCCCAGCCCAGCGACTGCAAGGCCACCACCCAGGGCCCGCAGACCTGCAAGCGTCCATCTGCCGAGCCAGCGGCCAGGCGAGGCGGGGGCGCCGCTGGCGCGGCGGCCCGGCCCCGGCCCCCGGATCGCCCGCCAGGGCTGCTCGCCGCCTCGCCCTGGGGCCCAGAGCCGCCCGCCCCGGGCCGCAGCGAGGGGAGCCTCGCCCCCGCCGCGCGAGCCCCCAGATCGCCCGCCCGGGCTGCTCACCGCGCCTCCTCGACCTAGGGCCCTGAGCCGCCCACCCCGGACTCCGTCGAGGGGGGCCCCGCCCCCGCCGCGCGAGATCGAAGTGGGCGCTGAAGACCCCGATGGCGGCCCAGCCGACGACGCCATCGCACTTCGCCCGCCTGCAGCTTCTCGAACGCGATCGCGGCAGCCGTCGCCGTCGCCTCCCGCTCCGAGAGCGCGCGGGAGAGACGCGGCTACGTCGGCCACCAGCTGTCGCGGGCGCCAGGCCACGCCGCCTCTGCGACCGGCCGGGCCTCACGGCGGCGCACTCCCCCTGGGCCTGCGCCCCATCCGACCTCTTGCAGCGCAACGTCCTGGCGTCGAATTCCGGCCCCCCCCCCCCCGATACTCACCGCGCGCCGCGACCTCGAGATCCAGAACAGCATGCTCCGCCTCTGACCCGGCGAGGCCGTCGCCGGAGTCGCCCCACGCACGCGCGGCGCCGCAGCCCCGCCAGAGGTCGGGCGCCTTGTACGCGCCAGACGTCGTCACGCCGCTACCGAGCAGGACCGCCAAACGCGGCAGGCCCTCGCCGCCCCTGAAGGCGGCGCCCACGGGGGGCCGCAGCGGCGGAAAGAGACGCTCCAGACACTGATGACCGTTCACGCTAAGGCCGCCCGACTCACGCGCGACCTCCACTCCGCTGGCTGGCGCGGCCCACAGCGAGCCCGAAGCGTGCGAGGCCAAACAGGAAGCCGCCGAGCTCGACCCATCAACGGGACCGCCCATGGGCGCGGGGACACCTGGCCCCAGCCGCTCGGTGGAGACAGCCCCTCTGACCAAGGAGCCCAAGCCGCCACCGATGGGCAAGGACAACCCATCCGCCCCCACCATGCACGCCTCCTAGAACGCCTCACATGAGCCGCCCCGGGGGGCATGGCGCCCCTGGCGTGGAGAAGAGGAGCTCGCTCCGTCGCCGTTTTCTGGCGAATCCGCCAGTCCTCCGACCTGCGGCGGAGCGCCATCCTCTCGCCCCGATGGGGCAGCCTGATGAGAAGCCCCGTGCCGCCCTCATAGCTCCTGGCGGGCACGTGGCGCCCGCCTCCCTGTCGACGCACCGCGCGCCCAGCTCATTGAATGCCAACGGGCAAGCAGGGGCCCCGAACACGACCTACAGTCCTCTTTGGCGGCAGCCTTCTCGGCGGCCTCATCGGGCCCAGATGCGCGGCGGCGACCACCCGCGCCGTCGGGCCCAAATGCGTGGCGGCGACCACCCGCAGTCGGCGCGTGGATGGGCCCTCTGCCGCCGCCCCCCGCTGGCTCGCCGGCCTCTGGGTCCACTGCCTCCTTGCAGTGCTTGGAGCGAATTGTGGCCGCCCCCTGCGTTGTCGCCGCCCACCGCGAGCTTGGCGCGGCCGAAGCACTCATTGCAGCAGCAGCCTGGCTCCACCCCGCTGCCCGACAGGCCGCCGCGGCCCAGGAAATGAAACTCTGCATGCGAGCATCGAAGACGAGGAGCCCGTCGCGGGCACCCACCCAGGGGAGCCTCGCCAGGCGGAGCCGCCGACCCTGGCATCTGGCCCGCCTCCCGGCCGCCTGCGCCCCCAAGGCCCCGGCACTCGCCTTGAGCTGTCCGCAGGCAGAGCGCCCCGCGGGCTGGGATTCGGGGCGCAGGGCGCAGGGCGACCCCGCAAACCTGGACGCCGCGCGGCGGCCGCGGCGCCGCCTCCTCCTCGCCACCCCGCCTGCTCGCTCGGGCCCGTGCCTCGGGCGCAACCTCGCCGGCCAGGACGCCAGACCACTCCTCGGCGCCAGCCGCCCGCCTCGATGCAGGCCCGCCGCTGCCGCACAGGTCTGCATGCCGCGCCTGCCCCCGGCGCTCGGCCACGCGGCGGGGGGCGGCCCCCCCCGCGCGGCGCCGCGCACCCCCTCGGCGAGAGGGGAAAGGGGGCGGCCCTGCACAGGAGGGGGGCCTGAGCCCGAGCGCGTTCGGGGTGAGGGGGTCCCCGGGCCGCACCGCGAGGGGCACGGCAAGGGGACCGTCGGGGAGCCCATGACTCACGGGCTCCCCGACGGTCCCCTCCGGTTTCCCTCGTTGAGAGAGACCGGAAGGAAGACCGGAGGGAAGACCAAGGGAGACCAGAAGGAAAGCCATGATCAAGACCATGCGGGAACGGGAGACCAGACAGGCGACCCTACGGGAGACCCTTCGGGAGACCGTGCGGGAGAGCATCCAGGAGACCATACGGGAGGCCACCTGGGAGACCAAAAGGTAGACCACACGGGAGGCCGTACGGGAGACCATTTCTGGAACTGAAGCAGCTCACATCCGGTCTTGGACATGTTTTCGGGCCCTTACACACAGACTGCCTAAGAAACCAAAAAAGCGGCGGCAAAATCTGGACCGCGAGCGAGACCCACACGAGCACTTTGCATTGGCTTTTGACTGGAATGGCGAGGGGGTGATCATATTTGTCCGTTGCGTGCTCGGCCAGTACCCGTGTCAAATGTCAACACACACACGCACACATTGATTGCGGGTGCACAGACCAAAAACCATGCTGACAACCGCGCTGCCACTTCGCACCTGCTTTTGACAGGGATGGCGTGGGGGTCGACAGGCTGCCCAGTGTGCGCTGCGTGCTCACTGACGCACCTTACAGCGTCTGGCGCACTGTCTGCGCGCGTCGTGCACCTCTCCGCGCGGCTGCAGCACGTGGCACTCGGCGCCAGGCGCCTCTGCAGAACCAGGCGCGCCCTGCACGCTTGGGACCGAGGCGGAGGCGGATGAGGAGGAGGAGGAGGAGGAGGAGGAGGAGGAGGAGGAGGAGGAGAGGGAGGAGGAGGAGGAGGAGGAGGAGGAGGAGGAGGAGGAGGAGGAGGAGGAGGAGGAGGAGGAGGAGAGGAGGAGGAGGAGGAGGAGGAGAGGGAGGAGAAAGAGGAGGAGGAGGAGGAGGAGGAGGAGGAGGAGGAGGAGGAGGGTCGCCTGGCGCACGTGGTGTGCGCGGCGCACTCGGCACGCACGGCGAACCTCGCGAGCGTCGCGCACCTGGCGTCGGCAACTTGGCTCCCTTCCTGGCGGCTGGCTGTGCGTCCGAGGGCGCCCTCTGCCGATGCGGGGTGTCGGGCGCTGCTTTTGTGGTGGGAGGGCAGGTGGGAGTGAGGGAAGGCCGAGATGGCATGAGGCGCTCCGTTGGGACCTCGACCACTGCTCCTTAATTATAAGCACCCCCGTGGGAGTGGGGGAAGAACGAGATAGCATGAGGCGTGCCCGTGGGGCCTCGACCACTGTTCGTTGATTGTATATATACAAAACAGACAAACAAAAACTGCCCCATCCGACAGGCCGCAGCCCAGGAACCATGCTGACACACCTGTAATAAAGACTTCCAGCAACAACAACAAAAAGAGTGAGCGTTGCGGCAAACTCTAGATCATGTTCGGGCGCCCCACGATCACTTCACACTGCTTCCTGATAGGGGCCAGGCCTCCCAGAGGAGGACGAGGAGGAGCAGGAGGAGGAGGAGGAGGAGGGTGGTGCCTACATCTTGCCCCCCACGTGCGCAGAGGCCCACCGCCCCGCTCAAAATCAGCTGCCACGCGCACGGTGCGGCGCACTCTTGGCCCACGCGCGGGCGCCCCGCGATCATGTCCCAGTGCAGTTCGACAGGGATGATGAGGGTGCCCTGGCACGCGCGGCGCACCTCGCGGGAGACGCGCACCTGGCTGTCGTCGGCACCGATGGTTGTCGATGGCGACCACCTCGGGTGCTGACGCTTGTGTGCTACTGACGTGGTGGGAGGGCGGGTCGGTGGAGTGAACGAGACAGCCGCCCTGCCAGGGGGGCAGCTCGACCCCTCTCCCTATCCTGCCCCGCTCCATGTGCCTGGGCATGGGGGAGGGGCGGCCAGCCCCCTCGGGGCATCGATTCTAGTTGGGCTGGTGACCGGTGGGGATGCGCAGAGCGTCAAGAATTTACATGTTACATTCCAGCCCATCACACCATATTCAAGAACTCGGCATGTCGCCTGCTAAGCCAGCGTGCGGCTCCAGGCCCCACATTCGAGAAGTGGCTGAACTCCTGCAGGAGAGATTGGCACGGCAAGGTGCGCGTGTGTAAATAATCCGCCACCGTGCGGCTGAGCACTAAGTGAATCAACCTCGGGTCCCTTCGAGCTCCCTGGATTGAGGGCTTTGCCTACTCTTGCGCTCGGTGCTTGGGTCGAGAGGGAGAGAGAGAGAGAGAGAGAGCGCGGTTCGGAGATCGGATTCCAACGTGCCCTAAGATCGCCCCCGTGGGGCCTTCCCGAGGCTCTCTTGGGGGCCTGTTTGGCCGTCTTGGAGGCCACGGCGTCTGTCTCAGGTCCAAACCATTAAATCAGCATGGCGAAGGACTAACCCTTGCTAGACACAGGCGACTACAAGCAGGGCAGCTGAATACACAAGGACGCAGTAATAAACATGTTAGGTAAGTGCCGAAACAAGGCTGGGCGATGGGTCTGCGAATCGTACAACGGGTGCGCCGAAACTTGGAGGGCCACCACGCGGACCTTGCCACTGGAGCCTTCGGTGGAGCTCCCCATGTGGCCACGAAGCGTGTGAGGGGTGCGCCGACATGGGGGCAAGGCACCGCGCGGACCCTGCCACTGAAGCCTTCGGTGGAGCTCCTGATGGGGTCACGAAACGTACAAGCAATCCTTCTGCGCCGAAGTGGGGCGGGGTGGCGCCACGACACCGCGGCCACTGGAGCCTTCGGTGGAGGTCCCGATTGGGCCACGAAACGTGCGAGGGGCGTGCCAGAAGGGACGCGAGCCATCATGCGAACGCAGCCAATGGGGCCTTCGGTGGCGATCCCTACGCCCTACGGGACCACGAAACGCGTGAGGGGTGTGCCAGAAGGGGCCTGAATCGCTATGCGGACGCAACCACTGGGGCCGTTGGTTAAGCTCCTGGTAAAGGGCCACGAAGCGTGCGAGGGGCGCGCGGGAACGTTGGTGAGGATGACGACGGTGGTAACGGTGATAGAGATGATGGTGACGGTGACGACGATGATGACGACGATGATGACAATGATTAAGAAAACGACGATGCTGATGGCAACGACAAGGAGGAGGAGGAGGAGGAGGAGGAGGAGGTGGAGGAGGAGGAGGAGGAGGAGGAGGAGGAAGAGGAGGGGGAGCGAGGAGGCGAGCAGGAGGAAGGACGCAGGAGACGCGCAGTGCTGCGGATTCAACACGAGGACCCAACTCACAGGAGGGTCGAGAAAAAACGAAAACGTTTGTACTAACTTCGCGTACTCGCCTTCTCCGTCTCGAGAACGTCCAACACGGCACAAGACGGCCCCAGAAGGGCCAAAGAGGCCCCCAATAAAGCCCTAAGCGGGGCCCACGAGGGGAAACGAAGGGACCTGTGGGGGGCCTTCCACTCCCAGATGGCCCCCGAAGATGCCACCAGGCCCCGAAGAGTCGCCCCAGAGACCCCCAGAGGCCCTCAAGAGGCTTCCAACAGAACGTGAAGAGACCACAACGAAGCCTCGATGAGGCCCGAAGATCCCTTCCGAGCGGCCCAAACACGCCTTGCGGAGGGCTCTGGTCAGCGACCCAGGCGCAATGGTGGCAGGATGAGCCGAAGGCCACTTGAAACAGTTTCTGCCATCTAGTACTCTGCGAGGGCGAGCGTGAACCCAGCCCAAGTGCAACTGGATCCGCAGGCCCCCTTTGGGGGTTACAAGGCTGCACGGCTCAGGTTTCCTGCAATCTGCACCAATAAATTTCAAGTCTCCGAAATTGACGAATTCTAGTTTCTGCTTCCTACTGTAAACTGTCACTGCCCGCGCGAGGAAAGGGGGGGAGGGGGGAAACCATCATGGCCACCGACCCCCCCCAGGGATCTCAGAATGCCCGGGGGTCCCAGGACATGTAATTCTCGCTCCCGAGGCCACCTTCAGTGGTGAATTGAAACATTGAATCGGGTTCGCGCCCCCGAGGCCAGGATCCCGTGGACCTTATTCCAGGTTCGCGCCTCCGGGGCTCCGATCTGTCGCAGATGACTCTGCATTCGCGCTCCCAGGGCCCCAATCTCTCGCAAATCGCACCAGATCTGCGCCCACGAAGCCACGATCCCTCGCACACTACGCCGCGCTCGCGCCATGAGGCCACCACCCCTCGTACACTGCAATGCGCTCGCGTCCCCGAGGCCAGGATCCCTTGTTGTCCCGGGGTCGCGCCCCCGAGGCCATGATCGCCGCAAGTTGCGCCCGGCTCGCGCCCGCGAGGCGACGATCCCTCGCACCTTGCTCCCAAAGTGCGCTCCCGAGGCCGCGATCCCTCGCGACCCACGCGACGATCGCCAGCCGTCCTCGCACGAGGTTCCGACACTCCGCCAGGTCGGCGCCCCTCCTCCTCCTCCTCCTCCTCCTCCTCCTCCTCCTCCTCCTCCTCCTCCTCCTCGGGGGGCGGCGGCGGAGGGCCGAGCCCGCCTGGAAAGGGAGGTCCGCGGCCTGGGCATCGTCAAAGGCAGGCAGGGACCCGGCCAAAACTAGCAGGGTGGCTGGCAGATGCCCGGAGCTCTTTACCAGCCTCGAACGTATCCCTATCCCTAAGATTGACACGCCAAAAGGCGATGACAACCTCAGGGATTCGCCCTCAAAAAATAAGGGAATCCCTAAGATTGGCATCGGGATGAGGAGGTGCCCAGCATAGGGATAGGGATATGTTCCAGGCTGGTAGGATGCACGGAGTTCTCTTAATGACAGCCTAGCAGACCACCCCAGCCCAACCCGAAGACCCGAACTTGACCCGAACGTCGGGTTGGGGGGGGGGGGTACGGGCTCCATGTGTGTTTTCAATGTTCCCCGCCCGCCCCCCCCCCCCCCCCCCCTGGAAATCTAGGATAAAGTTGGGCCTTCGGGTTGGGTTGGGGTGGTTTGGTCGGTGGTGAATTAATTCCCAGAGGCTGCGACACCAGAAAGAAGACGCGCAGCACCTCCGCGTGACCCACGGCTCGACAGCACCGCCTCTGCCAGAGCTCCACTCCAGCAGCAGCACGCGCCATCGCGCAGCGACGGTATTCACACGACCGAGAGTCATTCCCGCCTGCACCGCTCGTAATGCGCACTGGGCTTGACCCGTTCCAACACATGTCCAGTCGGAGTCAGATTGAGAGGTGCTTCCAGGTAGCCTCCTCAGGTCGGGCATGTCCCCCTACAGGGGGATTTTGGGCGAAAAAATACTCAAACAATACCCCCCAAATGGGCAAACATAGTGAAACAACAAAAAAATCGTCAGACTATTTTTGACTATGTTTGAGTATTCCTCCTGTAGAGGGACAGGCCCGACTTAAAGGTAGCCCAGCCGGTAACAGATGCCCACTCCAGAGTGATGGGGTCGTTGGCTGGCTGTACGGGGGCGCGATCTGGCCGGGATCCTCCCCCCGCTCTTCTGCTGCGTCGACAGCAAACGATACAGTTTCTGCGTTGTTAAGCAAGTATAGTGCACGGTCTGCTGCATCGGCTGCGCGCAAGTGGGCATGAGGACATCGAGAGGCGAAAACGATCGGTCTCCACCTTGTTATGTACTAAGCGCGCCCAAGACGGCCCAAGAGGTCCCAGAGGTCACCCCCCAACGGTGGTCCAAGAGGCATCCAAGAGGGCCCCAGAGGACCCCACCAGGCTCCTGAGAAGGCTCAAAGGCCAGACATTGGCCCCAACTCAGCCCCAAGACGACCCCTCCTCAATATCCCCCCGGTGATTTCCCCAATGGCCGGGGCAACACGCCGCCGACGCTCCACCACACAGGCGTCTCCAAAAGGGCAGGGGGCGGCGACGACTCGCAGCAGGCGTCTTCGATTCGCCGCTCCCTGCGCTTGCCACAGGGGAGCCTTGGCGTGCCTTCAGCCCGACCCACAGGCCAACCGGATGGCCGTGAAACGACCAACAAATCAAGAACATTCAAATCTCAGATGGCCAAGATGGCCCTAGATGGGCTCCAAGACAGCTCACAACGGTTCCTGCTTGCCTCCAAGATGGCTCCAGGCGCCTCCACGATGGCCACGAGGACCCGAACACGGCGCAAGATGGCCTCCAGATGTCCCGAGACGCCTCCGAGACGGCCCACGAGAGCTCCAAAGTGACCCCCCCCGGGAGGGCCCCCAGAGGCAACAATCACTCCTCATCCGTAGGCTTTTGAGTGGTCTCAGATCCTCGCCGTCCTGGTCTCCAGAGTGTCCGCGACGGCCCAGGGCGCCTCCAGGGCTGGCCCAAGACGGCCCCACGGGGCCTCAAGAGGACGCCAGGGCGGCTCGAAGACGGTCCCAGGATGGCCCCAGGCCGGCCGGGAGAGCCCCGAGATGGCCTTGCCAAAGCCCTTAGAGCCCCAGCCCAGGGGCACCCCACAACGGCCCCGAGATGGAGCCCCAAGGCGGAAGAGAAAGATATCACAAACAGGTGCATCCAAGACGGCCCTAAAACGGGCCCAGAGATCCCCTTTTTTCCAAAGGAGGAGGGCGAGGAGGAGGAGGGCGAGGAGGAGGAGGACGAAGAGGAGGAGGAGGAGGAGGAGGAGGAGGAAGAGGAGGAGGAGGAGGAAGAGGAGGATCATGCTCATGGTGTTTGTGGTTTCCCCCAAAGGCTGGGAGAGCACGCCATCCACGAGCGTTTCACTGCACAAGCGCTTTCACAGGGCAGGGAAGGGGCGACGGCTCGCCGCAGGCGTCTTCGATCCCCTGCGCCCTGCGCTTGCCACAGGGGTGGCTCTCGCGTCATAGTTTAGAATGATGTCTGGCCCTTCCAAAAAAACAGCCACTGAATCTTAATTCATGGTTTCCAGCGTGGTTCGGATTCTCGCTGTTTCCGTTCTATGAGCATCCGAGTCGGCCCGAGAGGCGCCCAAGACCAGTCCAGGACGGCCCAAATAGGCCTCAAGGGGACCCGAAGACGACCCCAAGGCAGCCTCAGAGGGTCCCAAGGGGCCGAAGAGAGCCACAGGACGAGCCGAAATTGCCTCAAGTGGGCCCCAAGACGGCCCAGAGAGGCCCCCAAGACGGCCTCCGAAGGTGCCAGACAGCCCAAGAGCGCCCTAAGACGGGCCCAGTGAGCTCCGACATTGCTCAAGCGGGCCCCAGGAGGCCCACGAAAGGGTAGAGCGGAGCCCGACTACAGCCACACGACGGCCCCAGAGGCCCCCTGACAGGCGTTGTCTCGGTGATTTCTCCAACAGCTGAGGGGGCACGCAATCCACCAGCGGGGCCGCACTTTCGCGCGACATGCCACGACACAAACGTTTCAAAAACGCAGGGGACGCGGTGACTCGCCGTAAACATCTTCGATGTAAAACCGCACCTTGCGACTGCAACGGATCCCAGACCGAAACAACTCCGCAAAGAGAATGCCAGGCTTCCAGCTTGGACGCCTCAAACTCCCATATCCGACACGCCTGCGCGCTATCCTCTACGGTTGAATTGACATGCCAAATATAGCGATGGCATGTGGCACCCAGGGACCACGCCAAGCGCAATATTATGTAGCGCATCCAATTCGCATAGCGCGTGGAACTCAGATCGCGGTTTAGCCCCCCCCTACCCGCTCTCTGCTTACAATATAGTTGAGCATGTTCTCCCTGTGCGTCCATTATGTGTGTTGCGTCTCCCGCGGGAGAAGATTCGTGCTCCCCCAGCGGCAACGCCTAGCGTGTATAGATTGGACAAGGTATCGACAGGTGGGAGCGACAGGAGGGGAGACGAGGACGTCGACGACAACGACGACGACGACAACGACGACGACGGGGGAAAGCATGGACTGGACGGATGAAGAGCAGTAGGGGCTGGTCGTCTACGAGTGCTCCACGATCACATGATCCCTTACTGTCTGCCGCCTGCACGTTCTGGGAGGGGGGTCGGGCATTCCTGCATGCCGTGGGCCCTATGTCTGCCAAATGTTGCAGCTGCATGCGTCGCGCGAATGGTCTATGACCGATCCCACGAGGGTGTTGGAGGTTCTGTAGGGAGATGGAGGGCCACGGGGAGGACGACGAGGAAGCCAGAACACAAGGACAACTAACCACACGACTGTTCATACTGCACGAAGACGGCCCAAAAGGGCACCCGAAGGTGCTCCCGGGCTACACACTACGTACCTCCCACCCTCTAGGGAGGGCTCCAACCCAGCACGGCATGGCGGGTCAAGGGGGGCGAACGCCGACGACAACGAATGGCCCAAGAGCCACCCGGCACGCTCCAAGAAAGTCCCACGAGGCCCTGTAAGAGGCCCCGAGAGGCAAACTCATCACGCACCATTGGGCATCGACGTTTTGGCATAAGCGCGTTCCTGGGCTCCAGCACGCCCGTGACGTGCACGGGAGACCCCGAAGGCTACCCCTAGAAATGCCAGAAGAGCCCCAATAGGACCCCAGTGAGGCCCCAAGACGTGCCAAGAGAGCCCCAGGAAGAGCTCCCAGGGCACTCGGCGTACGCCCCCCCCCCGCCCCCAATGGGAGGGCTCCAACCCAGGATGGCATCACCATCGTCGTCCTCATCCTTCTGCTCCCTCCTGCCCCTCCTCCTCGTCCTCCTCCTTCTCCTTCTCCTCCTCCTCCTCCTCCTCCTCCTCCTCCTCCTCCTCCGCCTCCCCCTCCTCCTCCTCCTCCTCCTCCTCCTCCTCCTCCTCTTCCTCCTCCTCCTCCTCCTCATCATCCTCCTCCTGCTCCTACTCCTCCTCTTGCTCATCCTTATCTTTCTGTGCGGCGCGGGTCTCGGCGACAAGATGGGCATCCAAGACGACCAGGCTGGCCGAAGACGGCCTCCAAGACGGTCAACCTTCCTTCTTCCTCCTCCTCCCTCCTCCATCCTCCTCCTCCTCCTCCTCCTCCATCATCCTCCTTCTCCTCCACCTCCACCTCCACCTCCACCTCCACCTCCTCCTCCTCCTCCTTCTCCTCCTCCTCCTGCTCCTGCTCCTCCTCCTCCTCCTCCTCCTCCTCCTCCTCCTCCTCCTCCTCCTCCTCCTCCTCCTCCTCCTCCTCCTCCTCCTCTCCTTATTATGGCCCCGAAGACGGCAGAGAGTGCCCGTGATAGGCACCAGGGCGGTCTAAAATGGACTGGGAAGACTGCCCAAGAGAGCCCCAAGACGCCCCAAGAGGACCCTACGACGGCCCATGGGCCTCGAAAGACGCCCCAGCAGGGCCCCGAAAAACCCAAGGCGCGGCTGTGGTAAATGCCATGCGCCACCCCGCCCCTGGGGAAGGGCTCCAACCCAGGATGGCATCCTCACCCTTACACTTGATATCCTCATCATCCTCTGTTTTCTCGTCATCACTCTGGTTCTCCTACAGCGAAGGGCTCGGTGCTACGCTGGCCCCATCGATGGCCAAGATGGCCAAAGATGGCCTCCGAGAAGGTCCAAGATGGCCTCGAAAACGGGCCGGATGGCCTAAGATAGGCACCAGGACGACCCAAGATGGCCTCAAGACGGACCAACATGGTTATATGATGAGGCCCCCGAGCCTCCCCAACAAAACTACATGACGGCCCAAAATGTGCACAAGATGGCCCCAAGGCGGTCACCGGAGGCGCAACTGGGGTACACACTGTATGAACCTATCCTCCAGGGAGGACCCCAACCCAGCACGGCATGGCGGGTCAATGGGGTCAATGTATCGTGCCCTCTGGGAGGGCGGAAGTAGGAGGAGGAGGAGGACGACAAGGAGGAGGAGAAGAAGGAGGGGAAGGACAATTGCAAACCCAAGACTCATCAATGATGTTGGAATAAGCCCTCCCTCCAAGCTCCCTCTTCACAGGCCCCTACAAGGATGCATTTACACTGCCGGAAGCGCTCCGTTGGGAGACAACTGTTTGAAGATCCTGGAGCATGCCAAAACACGGTTCTCGAGACTTCAACGCCACGAATCAACCTGACTGTTGCGTCTTGACGGTCCTGAATCGTGCCAGAACACCTACTATCCTTAGACCTGAACATCGTGGATCAACGTAACCCTTGCGCCCTGACAATCCTGAACCGCTCCAAAGAGTATCAAACGAAACTCTTGCAAATGTTAAGGCGAATGTGCGCGGCGCTAAGGCGAGAGCCACAGTTTGAAAACCACCCGACCTGATTATGCGAAACTCTGGCATATTTGCAAAGTGCGCGCGGCGCTGAGGCGAGAGCAACATGTTTTATCCATCCGCCCTCACTCCGTGACCCTCTTATAATGTTTGTTTACTGCGCGCGGCGCTAGAGCCACATTTTGAAAACCACCTGCCCTCAATCCGTGAAGCTCTTGCAAATTGGTTGGAAACTACCCGCCCTCAATCCGCGAGATTATTGCACGCTGTTGGAAAGAATGTGCACAGCGCAAAGGGGAGAGCCAAATTTTGGAAGCGGCCCGCCCTCCGTCTGTAAAGCTGTTGCCAATGTATGCTTCAGGCATCGTCATGGCAAGGAATTCTCAAGCGAAACGCCCGGCCCGCTCTTCCGACTGGCCTCGGGGTGCTGGAGGAGGATGACGAGGTGGAGGAGGAGGAAGAGGAGGAGGAGGAGGAGGAGGAGGAGGAGGAGGAGGAGGAGGGGGACGCCGACGACGACGAACGGCCCGAGAGGCAGCCAAGACGCCCCAAGGCGGCCCCACGACGCCCCTCCAGCCCCGTGGCGACATCGCTGCAAATGTCGACACACCCCTCTCACGCATCGGGGCCTCACAGGGAGCCTCACCGAAGGCCTCAGCGGGCGCGCCCGCATGGCAGAACCGTGCTCATTTCGGCTCCCTCCTCACACGCTTCGTGCCCCCATGGGGAGCTCCGCCGAAGGCCCCAGGTGGAGGTGGGCGCGTCCGCATGGCAGCACCGCGACTGCATCGGCATACCACTCACAGGACGTGTGCCCCCAGAGCTCCACCCACGGCCCCAGTGGGAGGGCCCGCAGGGTGGCACCCTGCCGATTCCGGCACACCTCGCACACGGGTCGTGCCCCCATGGGTACAATCGGACTCGATTGGACAGGACGCGCGAGAGGACACAAGACCCCTCCGAGGGCCACCTTGCCACAGGAATGTAGGCAGCATGGGTCGCGAGACACGGGACACAAGGGTACCCTCGATTCGGCGGGGTCGACCTGCTACCCTGGGCCGACTGTAGCTCTACCTGCGGCCCCAGCTGGCGCGCCCCCAAGCCGCAACCCGCCCAGTTCGGCACGCCCCACCCGTGGATCGCGCCCCCCTAGGGAGCTCCACCTGCAGCCCGGGCGGGCTCACCCCCACGCCGCTCCGCGCCCATTCTGGCTGCTCCCTCCCTCCCTCCATCCCTCCCTTGGGCCTCTCGCCAAGCCAATCCCATCAGCCCTCTGGGCGGAGGTGGTATACAAAGTGCGTTGCTTCCCACCTTCCAACACTCATCCTTCCCCCATCCAGGGATGAGATTATCACTGCACCTCATTATATACACCTTGTCCCCCACCTGACCGGGGGCGAACTGAGAATCATGGCAACATCCCCCCAACATCCATACCAAGAAGCAACACAAAGTGCAAGTTGCGGCAAAATCTGAATTATGCGCGTGCACCAAGCCAGCATATTGCCTGCTGCGCGCAAGCCCATCGTCCCTGTCACAAGACAATACTACATACACTTTCCAGCAACGATCATGCGCGGGCGCCCCGCGATGACTTCGCCTTCTTTTTTGACAGGGATGATGGGGGGTACCCTGGCACGCGCCGCGCACCTTGCGGGCGTCGCGCACCTGGCTGGAGTCTGCATTGCCTCCCGCTGATGGTCGATGTCGACCCCTGCCTATGCTGAGACTCCAGTGCTACTTATGTAGTGGGAGGGCGGGTAGGAGTGAGCGAACGGCCATCCTCTGGGGAGGGGGGGGGTCGCTTCAAGAATTAACTTACTACTATTTGTTCGAGGAGCTCCCCCCAAGCCCAGCTTGAACCTCCCCGATTAGCGTGCCAGACCGGGCCACCTGGCGGCGACGCAACAACTGGGCGGAGGATACAACCATGTGCAAGTGTGAGCGCCACAATGCAAGTGAAGAGAAAGAGAGAAAGGAAGATAGAGCCACAAAACGCGTAAAGGGTATGCCGACATGTGCGGGGCGCCGTGCGGGCCCTGCCGCTGGGGCCTCTGGTGAAGCTGCCCAACGGGACAACTTATTGAGTGAGAGGTGTGTCGAAACTGGTAGGGCGACGCCATGCGGGCCCTGCCGCTGAGGCCTTCGGTGGAGCTCCCCACGGGGCCACGCATCGTGGGATAGGCATGCGGCATGCCTCGTGGACGGGGCGACGCCATGCAGGCCATGCCACTGGTGGTGCTCCCAATGTGGACGCGAAAGGTGTGAGTGGTGTGCCAGCATGGGCGGGGCGACGCCATGCGGGCCACACCACTGGGGTCTTCGGTGTTCCTCCCTGCGGAGCCACGAGGAGTGAGGCGTGTGCCGAGATGGGCAGGGGGGCGGGGGCAGAGGATGCACGGAAGTGCCTTTGCTGCCGAATTGGCCGGCCCACGGCTCATGACGCTATGGCGCACGACCGTCCTCATTCTCAAAGACGGGCATGCGGAGGTGCCTGTGCTGGTGCAGGCTGCTGGGCCTCGGCCCGCTTGGCAGCCTGATCTGTGTCCGCCCGTCGTTGTCAATGCCGGGTGCAACGAGGTGCTTGTGCTGGTTCAGGCCCACGGGCCTCCTGACCCTTCCAGGAGCTAGCCTGTTCGGAACCTTGATCTGTGCCAGGCCTCTTCGAAGGACCGGTCTCTCCGGTCTCTCCAGCTGCGTCGTCTCTGACACTGGCACCTTCCTGATGAACAAGGCGCTGGCGTCGTAATTCGGATCTGATGTCCGCTCCGAGAAGCTCGGTCGCTCCTTGAACGTGAGCAACTCCTCCGATGCCCGCTCTGTGAATCGCGACAGCTCTTTGACGGTAGGCCGCTCTTCCCCCGCCTTTTCCAGCAACTCGTGGGAGCCTGCAGTGCCATCTTGTTGGATCTTGCGAATCGACGCTCATCGATGCTGAGTCGGCGCCGACCCATCGATCACCAGACGCTGGTCGACGCCAACGAGCTCTCGGGACGGAACTGTGAGAGCCGACGAGGCTCCCACGACTTGCTGCCGGATCCGCCTGCTGCCTCTGCATGGGCCACGAGCTGGTCCCCACGTCCACGCCACGCGGCGGCCCGGGAGCCGAAGTCGCAGCCGTGGAGGGCGTGTCGCACGAGTCCGCGGCAGGAGGGGGGCCCTTCTCCGGGAGGAGGGTTCGCGCCCGCAGCCGCCGGCTCACGGGCGCGCTCTCGCAGCCAGCCTTGGCAGAGAGCAGAAGCCCCGAGATCTCGGCGTTGTACTTCTGCGCAGCGGGCGTTTTCGCCTGGCTTCGGGCCCCAGGGCCCTCGCAGATCTATCCAGCTCGAAGATGACGCAGGAAGAGCGGGTCCAGGATACTGGTCGTGATGTTTTGCGATGCTGCTCTTCTGCAACGTCGCATTTTCTGGGAAATTACCCTCATAACAAGTACCCCGCCAGGCAAAACCGTTTCGCACATGCACCCCAAGGGAGGAATCGAAGCTGCTTCTAGCAAGCGCCCAGGGCCCGTTAGCAAACGCCAACGATGGGGGTCAAGGTGTTTTCCCCAACCCTCCTGCATTGGGCTCTCGTTTTGAATACAGCACTGTGGTGTCCACTCCTTCATCCTCCTCCTCCTCCTCCTCCTCCTCCTCCTCATCATCATCATCATCATCATCATCATCATCATCATCATCATCACCATCACCATCACCATCACCATCACCATCATCATCAGCATCATCGTCATCATCATCAGCAGCATCAGAATCAGCATCAGCATCAGCATCAGCATCAGCATCATCATCAACAGCAGCAGCATCATCATCTTCAGCATCAACATCATCACCATCGCCATCATCATCAGCATCATAATCAGCATCATCATCAGCATCATCATCATCATCATCATCATCATCATCATCATCATCATCATCATCATCATCATCATCATCATCCTTCCTCCTCCTCCTCCTCCTCCTCCTCCTCCTCCTCCTCCTCCTCCTCCTCCTCCTGCGTCCTCCCTCATGCCTCCTACCTCTTCCTCCCTCCTGCCTCTTCGTGGGCTACTTCTCCGTGGGCTTCGCTCATACACATCCTCGCCACACGCGGAGGAGGGGCTGAGCACGTCCCGGGCAAGTCCCTTCCCCGGCTGGGCGACCTCACGGGCGGGCGGGCCCTGGCCGTGGGCGCACGCCAGCACCTCCGGGGGCGGCGTGACGCTGCGCCGCCGCGCGGAGCCGTGCCACCTGCGGCGCGGGGCTCGGGCGTGCGCGCCGCGGCTGGGGAGCGGAGGAGCGCCCTGCTCGGCGGTGCTGCACACAGGGAGCGGGCCCTGTGGTCGGGGGTCGCTGCGGGCAGGGGCCCCTGGCCCGAGGTGCCCCCCGCTGCTCGCTCCTGCTCGGAGCCCGCGGGGCCTCCGCGGGCCTCGCGAGGGGGCGGCCCGGAGGCCGTGCCCGCCTTTCTGGGGACTCCCGGGGGGCACCTCTTGGGCCAGGGGCACCTTTCACGCGACGTGGGGCGAGAGTGGCCTCTGGAGCGCGGATGGACGACCCTGGCGCGCGACGGAGGAGGAGGAGGAGGAGGAGGAGGAGGAGGAGGAGGAGGAGGAGGAGGAGGAGGAGGAGGTGGAGACGAAGGAGGAGGAGGAGGAGGAGGAGGAGAAGTAGGACGAGGAAGAGGAGGAGGGGCAGTGCTGGCCTGCGTGCTCGGGCCTGTCCACAACCCCCTCCCCCCGCACCCCAAGGAGGGCTGCGCACCAGAGGTCACTCCGGCGCAAGGCCGCTCTCGCGTGCAGCCGACCTGCTCGGCCAGGAAGGCGCTGGGCACGACGACCGGCGGGGCGGTCGTCGGAGAGGGCTGCGCGAACCAGGGGAAGTGCAGGGCCTCCGAGGCGGACACGCGGCTCTGGGCGTCCCTGTGCATGAGGCCTACGACGACATCCCGGGCGCCCTGGGAGACGTGCATGAGCTCGTTCATGTCCACCTTCAGGAGCCAGGAAGAGATGACAGCCACCGTTAGACTGAGGGAGTCGCCCCTGGCGCCGGCCTGAGGACCACCCCGTCCCTGCAGCGGTAATGGCCTGCGCGGCAGCACACAGTGTTGGGCGCCGCGAGCGGGTCATCACTGCTGGAGGGTGGGGGTCGGCCTGAGGAGCGGCCTCCGGGGAGGTCACCTCCGCCCAGCGGTGGTGGGTGCCTCTTCTTCGCCCATGTCCACCTGGGCGCGCAAGTTCTTGAGGAGCACCTTGCGAAGATCCTTTCCCGGGAAAGGGGACTTGCCTGTCAACAGGATGAAGAGGATGGCGCCAATGCTGAAGCAATCGGACTTGCACGTCTGGACTCCCGTGATGACCTCTGGGGCTACATACCCTGGCGATCCCGACTGAATGCGCATGGCCTCCGAATCGGTCTCAAGCGCGGCCAGCCCGAAGTCAACGAGCTTCAGATGGTCGCCTGCGCTAGTGAGAAGAATGTTCTCGGGCTTGATGTCCCTGTGGACCACGGAGCACTCCTGCAGAAGGCTGACGGCAGATAGCAGCTGCTTCGTCAAGTGGCGCGCGTGGTCCTCCGTCGCCGGCTTGCCGTGCACAAGGCTTTCGAGCATTGGCCCGCCTTCGATGTACTCGGATACCATCGCGTACGTGGAGGGCGAATCGATGCCGAGCAAGTCCAGGATCTCCGTCTCACTCACCTGGTAAATACCATGGAAAGCCAGAATGTTGGAATGGCAGCATGATCTGAGGATGCTTGCCTCAAGGATGGGATGCATTATGTCCTGCGACGACCGCCTAAGGAACACCTTGATGGCCACGGGCGATCCGGTGCGCATGTCTTCGGCCCTGAAGACCCTCCCAAAGGAGCCCTCGCCGATCACGTCGAGCAGCTTGTACCTCCGCCGCAAGCCCTGGAGGATGCAGCCCGCCAGCTGCAGGCGGTCTAGAAGCAGGAGCGCGGCCTCCGGGGACTGGCACTCCAGCGTCCACACCTCTGCACCGCCCCTCTGCGGCTCGTGCTTGAGGGCGTTGAAGGCGTCGCACCTTGCCTTGCCGGTGCCCCGCAGCCTGTGATGGGCCAATTTCCCAGCACCACTACCATGAGTAGGAAAGGGAGGAGGAGGAGAAGGAGGAGGTAACTCGCCCTCCCTTCTCTCCCGTCCTACGTACGGTAGCGGAGGTGGAAAATTTGCCCCGCAGCCTGTCCAGCGTGTCCGCAGAGGGCAGCGCGATGGAGACGGCGGCGTCGCCGACGGCGGCCACGAGCGCCAGGGACAGCGGCACGCGCAGCACCATCTCCAGGTCGCGGCCGGAGGCGTGCCCGGCCGCCGAGGAGGACGGGTCTCGGTAGCAGGTCAGGCTCTCGGCCTCCTGGCTCACGTGCGCGAGCAGTGGAGCCCGGGCCTTGCTGCTGGGCATGACCCTTGCCAGCTTGTTGATCACCGAGCTCGTCCTCAGCCCGAGGCTCCTGGCGCTGCAAGGGCGGCGTCCAGCGGTCTGCGGCGGAGCCGAGGGACAGGTCCTCAGGATGACGGGCAGCAAGCCCGTGCCCTCCTCGAACAGGTCTTGCGGAGCTGCAGGGGGTGATGCAGCCATACTGCCCAATGCCCTACACCTTAGTTAATGTGCAGACAGTCGGGCAGCCATCATGCCCTTGCATCTGCTTGAGACACAAGGGCTGCGGAAGAGGTGGAAATGGGGCAACGACGAGGAAGGAACATCAGCGGGCGGAGGACCAGCCCAAGCAGGAGCAGCAGGAAGATGCGGGCCAGTGTGGTCTCAAGGCCACCGCTCCAAAGCAGTCATCGACCCCAAGGGGAGGCGCGCTGTGAGCTGTCAGCGCCTCGTGCTCTGCTGTCGCGAATGCACGGCACGTGCGGAACAGCGTGATGCCACAGCGCTATATGCTGCAGCGTGAGGCCGTGGCACGGGGAGGCGTGGAGCCGTACAGGCGGAGAGCCGTTCGCGCGAGGTCGCAGAATGTGGACCCTGAGGAATGCAGTGGGTACACACAGTAACCTCATGCCCGCGAGAATAAACACTAGGGGATAATAAAGTTCGGGGTTCGGGGAGAGATAATAAAAGTAGCCCAGCAGACCTCAGCATAATCTCGAAGTAAGAGATGATCAAGAGGAGACCAAGCCGAGCACGTTGTGAGACATCCTTGGCGTTTAGTTTTCATAGAAATATCCTCAACAATGGCTTATCTCGCTGGAATGGAGGAAGCTATATATAAAAAAAAAGATTCCTAAATCAGTGCTTGCACTGAAGGGGTCTTAGCGGAAGTGGAAAGATTTGGCGAAAGCTTCCCGCCGATCTTGGTGGCAGGCTGGGATCCCGGGTTCCCGGTTCTGGGGTTCCCGGGATCCCGGTTATTGGTTCCGGGCCGATTTCGGTTAGTCCCGGGTTCCCGGGCTCCCGGGTTCCCGGTCGATCTCCTCAGCGAAAACCATCCACTGACTGGGGTTGTTCTCTGGTGTAATATCTTGCTGTAGTACCCCTTGTGGCACATTCTTCCTCGATCCCAATCTTCGTGAGGTGCCCCAGAGATGCGCTCAATTGAGCCATGAGAAAATATGAAACTTCCGTGGAGCACCCGCTAGCAGGAGAATCCCGCAACTCGTGTGCCTACTGAAGCGAGCAGCCGTCCACGCTAACTCCACGGTGCGTCTCCGCGCGACCGCGCCGCAGCTCCGCAGCGCGGCTTCACAAGAAGGCTCAGGCGGTACACTGCGCACGCTGTTTGTAGGCCATTTCCTCGCGCGCGTCCCTATGACTGTGTTCCCGCGTATGGTCGCTACTGGAACCATCGCGCGCGCTCCGCGCGTGCTGAAAGCTCTGGCAGGCGTGGGCGCCGGGGCACAGCGCAAAAGAGGAGCCTTGCCATGATTGCCATGATTATCCTTGCTCTATAGAGCGTACTGGGTCCTCGCGGGCCTCTCATGGACCCTGTATGGCATATCCCAAGTTCGCCGTGTAGGTACCTCAACCGAGAGCTCGGAGATCCGAGTCCGTGTCAAACAAGCAAAACAATTTTCAACTCCTGGACTAAAGTCGACGATCCGAGGGCCCCCTTGGTACATTAGCGTGGCCTCTCGGCAATGGAGGGTGAAAGGGAGAACACGGAGATGGAGGGAGTAGGACAGGGAGGAGGGATCTGCAAGAATAGGGGGGATGAGAATGCGGAGGAAAGCGAATGAGGGATACAGACAAAACTGACAGTAAAGGTGCGCGATGATGATGCAAGCCCCTTGGACGCCCATGTCGAGGCTTTCCGAGCGGTGCTGGCCATCGAGAAGGGCTGATTAGGGATGGACCAAGGCGCCCAGGGTGCAAGGGTACTTACCCTTGGGACGGTTACCCATCATTACGGCCGCTTTCGAATGTACTGGAGAAGGAATGATGGATAACAAGCGGCTGTTGAGTATGATGATGATGATGAGATTGATGATGATGATGATGATGATGATGATGATGATGATGATGATGATGATGATGCTGATGCTGATGATGATGATGATGATTGATGATGATAGTGATGACGCCGACGACGACAATGATGATGATGATGATGGTGGTAGTGGTCATGGTCATGGTGCTGGTGACGATGACGAAGATGATGATGCTGATGATGGCGACGATGTTGATGGTGGTGACGGTGGCGATGACAATGACGATGATGATGATGATGATGATGATGATGACGACGATGACGATGACGATGATGATGAAGCTGGTGATGATGTTGAAGTTGATCCAAGCATTGATTATGAGGGTTGTGGTCGCGATGATGGTGGTGATGGTGATGGTGTTGATGCTGTTGTTGGTGATAAACAAGCATAATGATGGTGGTGGTGATGAATACGTTGCTGGTGATGGTGATAAAGATAGTGGAGGTGGTTAGGATGAGCAACAAAAAGAGCACCGAAGACGCCGACGAGAGCCACAGCCTCCCACTGTCTATTGAGGGAATTTACGAGGTCAAATGTTGTGCACGTGGCCGATAACGTATGTAACACACATTCGATAGTTGTGGGGTTCTAGGCCCCGCTTGGGCCGCCTTACAACTGTCTAGAGGTTATTCGAATGGCTCTCGTGGGCGGCCCTGGGGCTCTTTCGATCCGGTTTAAAACCCTCATGGACCATCTCGTGGCGCTCTTGGGTTGCCTGGGGTCCCCTCAGGGCCGCATTAGGGTGCATCATGGAGATGACGTGAAAACCTCATCGGCGCCGCCTTGGGCAGTTTGGGCGGCCCCAGGACAAGCCTAGGGCCAGCTGCGGATGGTCTTGTGGCCCCCCTGGCCGAGACCCCCGACGTCGTGACTTCGCAAAGTGGACCCCACGGAAATCTCGACTCCTTCCCAGGGAACGGTTGGTCATGCCGGGCTGATCTTTGACGGCCCTAGGGCCCGGCGAGGGCCCCCAGAGGCCGAAAACTGCCGAGAACCACCTCCTAGGGACCAAAGAAATATTTTTCGCTGGCCGGCCTGCAGATTTCGATGTGTGGCTCTCAGGCCCGAATGATCACTGGCCACGATGAGGCCGACATCTGCGCGACGCGACGCCACATGCACGAATCGACCGAACTTGCGCTTCGAAAGGGTGCCCAGCACGGCGTCGCACGACATTTGGACACCAAGGCCCGCCGCCTGAAGGAAACCCTCAACGTTCCAATGGCGCTCTCTGGGCGGCCGGGGACTGCAGGGGGATTCCACGTCAGCCTGAATGCGCCGAGAAACGACCCTGGTTGTCTGGTAGAATCCAGAGAGCCCCAACGCGTCGCCGAGACGTTTTCAGGAGCTTCCACATTGACGCAGATGGCCCTACAGCTCCACAGGGGCCTCGGGAGAGCCACTCGGAAAACCCGAAGAAGAGCGCGACAGGCCCCAAGAGAGGCCCGATACGCCCTAGAGCGAGCCCGCAGGGAACCGCTCGCATCCGCACCGGACAGGGACGCAACCCAGACCCGCGACCGGTGAAATGAAACACTTTGCGTTCTTGGCCCGCCAAAGACAACGAAATCTCTCATTTCACCGATCTGGCCTGGTGGGGGCTCCAGGGGCGGACGCTGAGCGCGCCCTGAGGCGGCGGGCCGATCGACGCAGGGCCGCGCCCTCGCTTGAGCGCGCGCGCCGATCTGCGGCGCGGCGTCCGCACCCCTGCGCCTGAGGCCCGCGGAGAATGACGGTGCGCGTATTCGTTTGGGCATGAAGGTTCCCGTCGACATTGCCGAGTAGCCTTGAAACACGCGCTGATTGAACGGGATCAAGCCGCGATTGTATAGGCACATGTGGCCTCGATGTCTGTTCGGGGGCCGCTCGAACCAACCGAAAGGCCGATGCATCGCGCATCACATCGCGTTCCGTCCATACATGAAAATACATCTACAGTGCGCACGTCGTTCTCGAGGAGGTCGGCAGCATCGTGTGATGGCCACGTTCGCTTGGTTTACATGTCCCAAAGAAGCAGCAGGCAGCGAACATGAGAGCACGCCAGATAAGAATTCAACTCAACGTCTACGATCGAAAACCCAAGCAACCAGTGACCCGCCATGATTGACACCAGTCGCAACTCGAGGGGGTCTGGCGGAGGCCCCAATGCGCGCGCGCGCCTGCGTGTGGTCCTCCACCGCAGAGGCTCCAGCGCCACCGCGGCGGTCCGCGGCGGCCTGCAGGGGAGATCGGCAGACTAGTACGCAGTCAAAGTTGACAGCAAAGATGCGCGGTAAGGATGCAAGCCCCTTGGACGCCCAAGTCGAAGCTTTCCGAGCGGGGCGGGCCATGCAAAGTGGTTGAGGATGGACCGAAGAGACAAGGATGCAAGGGTGCCCTTGGGAAGGTTACCATTCCTGTCATCGATTTCGACTGTAAAGCCCCCATCGAGAGTCCGACGTCCAAAACGGATTCCGAACTCGAGCGCATCGAGTCGAAGGGATCGAACTGAGCTCTGGGGTGGGGGGGGAGGCGTGGGGAGAGGGGGCAGGGGCGACCCCCTCGAGTCTTGACATCAAACCACGACGAGCGGCCCCGGGACCGTCGAAGAACGGCCTGGGATGAACAACTGGTCCCTGGGAGTGGGTCGATACCGCACTGCTTTCTTCCTCCTCCAGCACGACAGCCAGACAAGACAAATTTGCATGCTTGATGGGTTGATGCCTCAGGGGGCCCTCGTTGCGGACAGAAGCCACGAGGTCGGGGGTCTGGGGCAGGGAAAGCGAGGGGAGGAGCGCAGCGAGAGGGGAGAAGAAACGCGGGGTGAGGGGAGGGGAGAGGGAGGGGTTTCTCCTCCGCCGTCCTCCCCCTGCTCCTCCTCCTCCCGTTCCTCCTCCCGCCCATCCCTTCCTGCTGCCCCTCCTCCTGCTCCTGCTGCTCGTCCCCACGTCATGTGAACTCATGACTTGGGCCCCTGGAGCTCTCGACCCTGGTGCCAATACCAGTTTTCAACCCCTGGTGCTGTTCTGCCCCGGACCCCCGACGCCGTGACTTTCTCGCAGCTTGCACCCCCAAAAGGTCTGGACCCCGTCTCCAGGAGTGGCTGTTCCTCCCGGGTCCCTGTGCGACTGTCCCAGGGTCCACTGAGGGCACCAGGGACCCGAAACGGGCCGACAACCTCCGGTGCTGATTTTTGTCACGACTCGACGGGGTCTGGGGATGGCCCTGGCGCCCCAACCTGGGCTTCCA